CCATGGGAAGAAAACATAAAAGACTCTTAAATAATTCATCACAGTCACCCACTTACCAATCTCTCGCTAACCTGAGGCACTAAATGTCCTTGCTTACTAACACCATAAATAACTGTCCACAACCCTCTAGAGTATTTAGGTGCTTGTGTGCTCATATAGAGTTGTTGTTATATTCAAAAGTCAAATTAGAGATAATTAGGTCCACATCTATTTTAATTATTAATTAATACATTTTTGCCAACCAGCTAAATTCAAGCAACACTGTTTTCAAAATCCTGGCTCAACAAAAAGTTTGTTAAAATAAATTAGTATATTTAGTACTGATAAAAATACTAAAAATGTAAGATTATAATATATTGTAGCATAACAATGTCTATACAAATTCTACTACAACAAATGTTCATTCCTGAAAAACTAAAGACAAGGATGTATCCTTTTTCTTCATTTATAATTTTCTGTATATGTTAGAAATTTTATTACTGCAAAATCATTACAGTATACAAAAAGCAGTTTTACAAATAACTGTAAACATATGCATGCCTCTTTCTAATCATAAGAAGCCTTTAAATGAATTATATCATTAAGGATAAGAGAAAATTTAACCATAGTAATAGGTACATCTAACTATATTGTGACAAAATGATGGGAAGGAGGTTTGGTGGATACTCTTTGCATGTGACTAGCCCATTAGCTATTTAGAACTCATGATGAAAAGGAGTTCCTTGATTGTACTCTTAACTCATATTTATAGAGAAATTCTGTGCAGGCAAGTGCTTTTCAGGCAGCTTATATTTATTATAGCAATCCAGGCACCTCCAGAAATAGCATCTGAAGAAAAAATTACATTTATTATATTTATATTTATATTTATTATTATTAATTATTATTATTATTATTAATTATTATTAAAATTTATTGGCTGCCCATCTCACCACAGAGTAACTGCTCCTTACATGCAGATTACATCTGGGTGGCTTAGAATGTTAAAAGATAAAACTATACAAAACCCATTCACAATACAAATAAAATATTATAAAAAAACAAAATACAAATACTCAACCTAACTAAAAGAGGGAGAGGGAGAGAGTAGGATGAGTATAGAGAAAGAGAGTTGGGATCTGTTATTAATATATCAACCACCCCCAATGTGAAGCACCTCCCTTGGAGCCCCAAGCCAACTGGCAGAAACAGGTCTTTAAGCTCTTGTGGAAGGCAGGAGGTTGGACTCGACCTCACTCTGGGGATTGGGGGAGCAAGATGCTCCAAAAGGCAGGAGGGATATTTGAGAACACTAAACACCAACAAGCAGTATTCCTCAACCTGAGCACCTTCTACAATAACTTGGAGAATAATGGGTGTTAGTCCATATATGGTAAGTTTGCCTTAAGAGAAGAGAATGAAAAGAACCAACCTTTCCCATTAATACAAATATATTGTATCCATTTGGTGATTTCCCAGACAATTTTGGGGAAGGACTTGCATGATATTATCTTATAAAATATATGAACAGGTTTTTTTCATTCTAAGCATTGCGTTCCTCCCTTCTCATCTGTCTGTATAGGAGGTGTAAATCATGGGCAGCAGTAACTTTTCAGAACAGAAAAAGAATTAGGAGCCGAGGTGATGCAATGGTTAAAATGCAGTATTCATGCTGCCCATAGCCGGGAATTCGATTCTTACTGGCTCAAGATTGACTCAGCCTTCCAACCTTCCAAGGTCAGTAAAATGAGGACTGTTGGAGGCAAAATGCTGATATTGTAAAATGCTCAGAGAGTGCTGTAAAGTGCTATAAAGTGGTATATAAGTGCTATTACTATGGCTCTTTAGCAATGAAACAGTACATTGCTTACAAATTTGATTGGTGGAATTCAGGACTGAAAAGTAATCAATAAATGATCCCTTTATCTCAACTTTGGCATTATTCCCAAAAACCTGATTCTAATATTTAGAATTTTAACATGAAACGTATTAATTTCTGGAATTTACAGCAATATTTTGAAGTAACAGGTCCCAATATCTTCCAAGACATTAATTTATAAAAACAGATAACTAAATGCAGTCTGAATCTGTTCTTCTTTTTCATACATATAGATAATGAAATGTCACGAAACACCAAACTGTATATTCATATCTTCATTTGTGAATTCATCTCATTAGTTCTCAGCTCACACCTTCACCATAGTATTCCCAGAACCGATACTATTATTGATTTTTTTAAAATTTCTGAACATTGAGATGGTCTTTTCAGCATCTACTAGCCTGAGCCTCAGGATAAACAAGTTCTTACTCATTCATGTCTAAAGGGCATTTCTGTCTGAAGGGATTTGCATCTTTTCCAAAGAGCTATGACATATTTCAAATACTTCCTTCTCTCCTTACAGCTACTTTTCTAAAGAATTCTAAATGCATGTTATTGTCTGTTTGGTATTCAGCTTGGGGAAAATATTTAACATGGATTGTGATTTAAAACAGAAAAGATATTCAATGTTTCTTCCAGAAAAATAGCATTTTAGAATCCAAATAAAGACATGGTATTGAAAACTGATCTCATCATAGGAATAAATAGGGGGAATAATGTACCTTGTAACTTTTATTACAAAGAAGAGGGATGGAACCAATATGTTTATTTGTACTTCTTTGCAAACTCATTTAATCATATGAATTTGTGTTTAATTTTTTTGTGTAAGAAAAAAAGCAAAGATCATTTTCAAGTCTGGCATTAAAAATTCATCCTAAAATTGGTACAATTTAAGTTTTTCCTCACAGAAATAGAAAAGAAATAAGATGTTCAATGAACATATATTGAAACTGTTTCAGACTAGAAGAAGCATAATCATAGTTGTTTTCCTAAAATGGAAGAAAATTAATTTTTATTGTGATATGTTTCTGAAAATCCTGAAATTTTACTAAGCTTATTGACATTCTTGTTTTGCAGATAATTTATTTTAGCTATACATATTGGTGGTCATTCTTGAACTTGTGAAAGAGAAAAACCAGTAACATAAGTGAGTTAGTAATAAATGAAAGAAATATGTAGAATCAGTCTTGAAAAAGTTAATTTAGTATCATTTCTGAAATATAATAATCTTTTCAATATTACAATTGTCTGTTTACACCTGTAATTATTTTTAATTACAAAATATATTTTCTTAAATACAATTTTCTTAAAGAAAATAGTGCAGTACAATCTTAACTAATATTATTTGAGAATTAAACCTCTTTATATTCAATAGAGCTGAATCCCAAAATTAACAACAGTTAGCTTGCATTCCTAATTATCTAATAAAAACAGATAGAATAAGAAAGTGAGCCATTTTAATTCTACTTTAACAGCATTTTTCAATTAAAGTTTAGCTATAAAATTTTCATGAATCTACTAAAAAAACAAAGGATCAATGAAAATAATTAAGAATGTTTCAAAGTAGGTTACCATAGTTTTCATGAACGCTATTCATTTGAGAGACATCTACATTTCCTATGATTAATTGAAGATTTTAATCTGCATAAAGAGTTAAATTCTACTGTCTTGAAATAAAAGCAATTTATTTCACAACACACTAATTTATCTCAATAAGAATCTAAGGGAACCTTGCCACAACATTTTGAAAATTTTCTAATTTGGGGGGGGAAACTACTTTCTACACCAAGATATTTATTTATATTGTTTGTACGTTAAGATAAAACACTAAAATTACATCTTGCAGAAAGACTCAACTTACTCCTTTTACCAATAGTCCTTTTTTTAGAGAAGCAGATGTTGAACATGCTTTAACAGTTTAAAAGTGTACTTGTGTCTGAAAATTGCAAAACTTGCACGATGTTAGAAAATCTGTTTCTAAAAATGTTGCCTAACAGTGGGGTTTTATTTATTCAAATTAATTCATTTTCTTTAAAATGCTGTTAAATAACATTAGAAAAGATGTTTTATAGCATGCCACTCCTCAGAAAACAACGCTTATTTCTATTCCATCAAGCTTCCAGTGTGCTAAAAAATCTGAAGATATTGATACATGTTCAGTTAAAAAGTATTTATTGGGGTCATAAAACCAGTATGTCCTCAGATTTCAAAACAAAGACCAAAGAACAAGATCTAGAAGAAATTATTGAGGTGGATGATACTTCAATGGCACAAAGTGAAATAAATGAATACCCATATGTGTTTTGATATGAAAAGAAGAGAGGAGGCACATTGTTCTCAAATGAAAAAAGGAAATAAATCATTTTCAAAGTGCTTTATCGGCATATTACCTATAGTCCAAAGCATTTCAGGTGTAATATTATCAAAATATGATCTAATTATCTTTCCACTTTCAAAGTCCTTACAAAGGACTACATCTCTAAAAGGTGAGCCTATTTTTAAAGTTCTTTTAAAGTCCACTTTTGTCCTTGATATCAAATCACTCCATTTTATGGAGTCAGTATCTAACCCATTTCCTCCCTGCAAAATGGAGAAACCGGAAAAGTTACACCAGAGGTCTTCTATGCTCCAGTGTTATCCAATCTTTCACCTCTAATACAGAAAGAAAATAGTGTGCCATTACTTCTAGCTTGCTCATAAAACATAAGAAAGAGCCTGAGTAGCAAACTCTGAAATTCTATTTCATGCTTAAAAAGAAGTTTGGTATGGAACGTTACATTTGAGAGAAGGAAAGGAAGACAAAAAAAAAAACTATGAAGGGGGGCAAGGGAGCCCAAGAGCGGCAAATGACATTGCATGTATCATAATTTGCAATGATGTCATGTTACACAAACATTACTAAATCATGATTACTAAATCATGCTAAGTACCTATGACGCATAGCATTTTAGCTAATGACAATACGAGTAAGTAATTTGTCACATTTTCTCTCTGTCTCTGAGAAAATGGCATCTTTTGTCTCAGGTCAAATAACATTGGAGATTATAATAAGTCTAAAGCCTGATTCCAAAAGATTTTTAAGTATTTCAGTAGTATTTGGAGTAGTAGTGCCACTTTTCAATGTACCACATCTTACACTCACCCAAGGAGCTGAAGGTACCAGAAGTGTCAAAGTGAGCAAATCACTGCAACATTCCTCCACAGCCTGATGACACTTAACTACTTGATTTATCAGCCGAGCATAAACAACTGTTGGTAGAATCCGATGAGCTGTTTCAGAAGACACTTGTCCTGGGGCAAGCAAGAAACTCAGATTTTGCCTCATGGCAAGCAGGTGTCTCCACAACTTGCTCAGTTTTCCTTCAAGAGCACTCTACAAAAACAAAACAAAAAAGACAAATATGATAAACAACTGAGGAAATAAAAACAAGTTAATTATGGGGGGTGAAAGGCCACTTGCCTCACTGAGCACCTGCAAGCACAACAGCAAACACACTGATATATAGATACACACACACACACACACACACACACACTTCAGGCATTTTGCTTGTGCTTTCCCCCCTCCCCCTTTCTAAGCCATCTGTGGAGAACATGTGTTGAGAGGGCATGATCTGACAAAGTCAAAAACACAACAAATTGCCAGACTTCTAGCTTCTTAAAATAAATAAAAAAACAGAGATCAAAGCGACCCTCCAAACAGGGTTGATTGTTTTTCCAAAAGAACGGCTTAAAGCAAGGGTAGTAAAAGGGAGGGAGAGATTAAAAATTGCAAACTTCTAAACAGAGTATTAGAAAAGTATAAACATGAGAATGTTTATCTTTTACCTACCACAGAATCTTATGTTCTTTTTCTGTTTAAACTTTTAGCCAGCTGTTACTTGCAATGCACTGAACAGCATGTTTTCATCAAGTGAAAATGAAAAAGACACTGTAAGAGCTCATTTGAAGTAATCAACATAAAGAGATTATAATTTTACCGAAGTTAGAGACAAAAGCACATAAGTGTAAGGAAAGTGCTGCTAAACAAAAAACAAAAAAATTGGCTATCATCCATTCTGAAGATATAGGCAAGTATCGATTTAAAATAACAAACCATGGAAAAAAAATGTGACACCTCAACCACAATGTGAATAAGGTTTCTGATTTTAATGCAGAGTTTTGAAAAATTTCATTTTAATCACTGATGTTCCCCTCTATTAATCATAATTATGCTGCCTACAATTGATATTGTCCATTGTATATAGAAAACTGCCAATGGAAAACGTGTATTTCAATATAGCGAAAAATACAAAATACATGTACATATTGTATATAGACGTATACAGAAAGGACAGTAGAAGATACATGCTACCAAAAGGAAACTAAATCACAAACCCAAACACATACCTCAGTCCATGCACATTTAAAAATGAGACAATTGATCAATTCTAATATTCAAAACATAAAATAATTAAACTATATATAATAGGGAAGGCAAACTGAATTCAGATTTGATCCAGACAATGTTATTCTGGATCTTTAGTGAAAGATATCTAAGTCATTCATTTGTGCAGAAGACAGGAAATAGCAATTGAGACTAGGTCTGGAGAAAGGCTATTCCCACTGGCACAAATGGAGAGAAGGCTATTTTTGTCTATTTCTTCTTGTTGTCCTCTAATCCAAAAGGTATTTTCATTTAATTCTAAATGGTTCCCCAGTCTGTAGGGGGCTTGCATAAGAGCGCCAACGTGCCTACTGCCCCTGTCCTATTGTTTCTTTTATATATTTTTTTATTTTTCTTATATGTATCCATGTATTCATAACTATGTTTTTACTTACACCTATTATCTTGTAAGCAATTGACAAATAAAAAAAATACAATGAACAGCAAGGCAATGGGAAATAAGGAAATGTAACTTCCTCTTCTAATGGAAATTCTTTATCAGGTTTGAAATGTTGATATTTTGTAGATATTGGATAGATAGTATATAAATATTGGATAAATATTGGATAAATATTAAAATGCTTTCTGAAATGTATTTCTTTAATTACAGAAAGACTCCTTTTTTGCATTACATTTTAAATTATTAACTTTGCCTGATTCTTAAGAGAATGTTTTCAAATAATTTCAAAATAGTTCATTTTATTATTGAAGTTGTTGGTGTGAGCAAACAACAGATGAAGAACAATGGACAACAAACAGGATCACTTCATTTTATAGCACAAGAAGGAGATCGCCCAATCAAGAGTCCATCCAATTTGGTCAATCCTTGTTGCTGTCACTATTTAAGTTCAAAAGAAAGATCTAACATATTTCACATTATCCAACTAATTTTCTCTATGGCCTTCATTAGAGAAGTTAGACAGGTTTTTATACTCGCACTCAGAAAGGTGATAACATAAATTTGCTAATATGTTACACCAAGCCAGGGAACTGTATGCTAACATAAAATAAATAATATTTGCCTTAAATATATTCAATAATTAGGCAGTATAATAGTTGAGCTTGAAAACAAGTTCCCTTTCCTAAAACACCTGTATGCTTTCTGAACATGCATAAAAATGATATACAGATATTTTGAAAAAGAAAATTCACCCATTTCTCTAGTGATCAATGGAAGCACTTTTATTAGTAATCAGCAAAACAGCAACTCAGCCAAAATAACTGCCATCATGCTTTCAAAACACTACAGCACAACATGCAGGAGTACGTATACACAACACCTCTTTCCAAATTATTAAAGCAGCCATATTTTTACAAGGCTCAAACAACTGCTTAGATCAGGGGTGTCAAACTTGATTTCCTTGAAAGCCACATCAGGGTTGTGTTTGGCCTTGGGGAGGCAGAGGGGCATGATTAGGGTAGACATGGCCAGCTCTATATCACTTGTGTCGGGGGCACCTGTGGTGATCAAGTGCTAAGACAGTACTTCCCTCAGGCCCTCCTTCCCTCTCATTATAATCTCTTTCCTTCGTTCCTTTTCTTCTTCTTCCTTCCCTCTTCCTTCTCCTTTCTTCTTCCTTCCCCTTTCCTTCTTTTTCCTTCCTTGCTCTCTTCCCATCTTTTGTTCTTTTTCTTTGTCTTTCCTCTTTCCCTTTCTCCTTTCCTGTCCCTTCTTGAATGCTCAAATGCAAAAGGGGAAACATTTCTCCTTTTGTTTTGCTGTTAGTTTATTTTGCTAGCCCATTGCCAGCAAAAATGGACCCCGGCCGCCTGCCCCTCCAGGACCTGTTTTTGCTGGCAAAGGGCTGCAGGAGGCTGTCATGGCCGAAAATGGAGCCTAGGAGCACCAAACATGGCCCTCCAAAACTCCATTTTCACTGGCAGAGGCACCACAGGCCACTCCTTCGCTATTTCCAGAGTGGCCCCGTGGGCCAGATCTAAACATCCGTGGGCTGGATTAGGTCCATGGACAGTCTTTGCATGCATATGTTCATTTAATTCCTTCAGTTCACTTTTTTCTCATAGCCCTCAATTTTAACAAAGAATGCCATAATTAAGGACTTACAGAATAGGTATTTGAGAAAGTAAAAATATTATTAATTCTGTACAATTCGGTTCAATCAGTATCATCTGGTATAATCAACGACAGTCCTTTGCTGATCAATGAGTTTGTTTGAAAGAAGTAAGACAGAGGATTAAATATACCATTTTTACCATATACCATATAGTATGGTATATTTATCCATTGTTCCTTTTCTTTACAAAGCAAAATCATTCACTGTTTAAAAGTAGAATTACATATATCAAATTTATGTATAAATATAAATATGGTGTATTTAATTCTACTTTTTAAACAGTTAATGATTTTGCTTTGTAAAGAAAAAGAACAATAGACTTCAGACACACAGCCCACACTACCTAATTACACAGAATGTTTAAAAACACATATGATTCCCCATATATTGGAAGGCAGGCTGAATTACTTGTTAATAACAAAAGCAAAGATATATAGCTATATATCCTAATAAAAAAATTAAAAACTGGGAGACAAAGTAATAATCCGCTCATTTTGGATACGTTTTAATATAATATCTCATTTAAATTAATTGATTGTAATGCTAAATAAATGTGTTATTATATAAGTTGCTTTAGTTAGTATGAAAGCTCCATAAACTTTAAGAGTAGACTACAAGATGAAAAAAAATGTTAGAATTACAAACCTGTACTAAAAGAATGAATGTCACCCTGTTCATATTTCTACAAGGTGACCTTATCCCAAAGCTAATTAAAAATGTGAAATGTTCGCCAATGTAAGCCTTCTATTTGTCATTGCCTCCAACATGGAGTATTATGACTGTCACAGCAAATGGCACTGTGGAAGTAGGGCTTAACAAGAAAGCTTGATGCACCTATGTTAATATGCAATGCAAGCTCTTCTCAGCAGGTGCTCCATATGAAGTTTGTTTCATGAATAATTCAACAAGGAAGCTTCTTTGCAGAGACACCTTTCTCAATGTTTTTCAAGTGAGATCAGTAGAAATCAGGAGCTGTCATTGCCAATTTGCTTCAGTCCAGGTTTTTAAAGTGACACCTTCAATACGTTACTGAGGTTGAAATGCATTTTTCTTCTTTTTACATGTCAGCTATCAAGGACTGCTTTGTTTTCCACACTTACCACTCCAAAATCAAGAACTGGCATTTTGTGGATAATTAACAAAAACTGAGAGTTTGGAAAGCAATGCATCATTACTTGTCTTAGTCACAAATGACTGTCCCTGGCACCGGGATATTTAAATTTGATCCCTAAACTACTGCTACAGAATTGTAATTCAGATCAAACCTCCAGCTGCATTAGCATTTTCTCTACAATAAGCCAGAGCACAAATTAATTCTTCATGATACTTGTGGACTCTTGAGCTAAATGAAAGAAACAGTTATGAACAAAATACCTACCCTCCAAATGCATATGCTAGAATATTCAGGCACCACATGCAGAACAAATGTGTTGGCATCAATGCATAATCCAGACTAATTTAAAGAAAGTGTTCTTTCATTTTGTTTTAATTACATACGGTTTATATGACTGTTTATGAAAAAAATGCTTGCATAAGTCATTTCTTGGGAGATCTAATCAAAATAATTCTATCAGGTACATAATTTTGCCATTATATTATAATGCTTTCATGTTTAAAAAACCCTTTTGATTCAATTTTAATGAATCAAGGATCTGGGCATCTACAACTCAAACGAAAAAAGAAAAAATGTTTGTTATTAATACTAATTGGCATAAATATTTGAATATACAATAAATAATAAATGGGTAAGGAAATATACAAGCATGGCTTCTGGACTTCATTCCAGGATCTTTATTGGTGGCCATTTGTATGTACTGTATTTCTTTAAAATGTAACACAAAATTGTCTGCTGTATTCACTCTCCTTAGAGTATATGTATATGTTGTTGTCTCTGTAGGACTGTAAGTTCTAATAAGGCTAAACATATGTGTATATCTCTGTGTGTGTGTGCATTGTGTGTATACATGCATGACGTTCTTATGTGGAAAAATACAAACAGGTTCCCTTGGTTTATGTGTGAGTAAATCTAATGAGATTGCTGCATATACATTGTATCTGTTTGTTTGTGGGTGCTTCTCTATCGTCATGTTGCATTTGTGTGTATTGGTGCAGTTAACTACATATGCTCCACTTGAGGTCAAGTGACCAGGAGGGAAGATGAATGAATTAGTTAGCAGCATTCCACTGATATTGTTTAGATTTGTTTTAGGCTGCCCAGAATGATATGTTTGGGAGAAGGGCAACTATATAAAATAGAGATAGATATAGATAGATAGATAGATAGATAGATAGATAGATAGATAGATAGATAGATAGATAGATAGA